CAAAAAAAAAAAAAAAAAAAAAAAAAAAAAATTACGACTAATATGCAATATGCATATTCATTGGTTAGCTGTGACATTTCTCTATGTTACTTTTTGAATTTATGGGTTTTCCACTTGTTCTTAATGAATTCTGCTGCTATAAATCCTTCCACGTCCTTATAATCCATTTTCTAGATAGAAAACTGATTCAGAGAAACGGGAAAGAAGATTGTTGCAGGATTTTTACATTTTTTTTCCTGGAACTTTTTGAGATTTCAATTTTATATTAGGCACACTTTAATGGTTACAGTCTGTATCTTTTGCTAAAGGCAAATGATATAACAATGGTTCATAAGGTGGGACATCAATTACTTCAAAGTAGTGTGCCAAAATGTGCTGGACTAAGCTCTTAAAGACTGGACTAACATGGCATATGTCGTGTTGTGGGAACGCTTGTCTCTACACCATTTCCAGGGCCTGCAGTACAACCAGACTGCAGCCCCACACGGTTCAACTTAATATATATATATATATATATATGAAAAAAAAATGAAAATTGTATGGCTCATCCACGAGAAACACCTAAAAGGAGGGTAGTGCAGACCTTACACCTCAATTCTAGTGAAGTGTGCATTGGCCTGGTTTCTCTTATTACACTGCTTTTACCATCACAAAGCTTTGCATGTTTTGTATAGTGCCCAAAAAAAAATTATTCCTCGTGACAAATTTTATGCACTTGGAAGAGATCTGGATGGAGAAAACAAGAAATAAAACACAGAGAGAGATGAAGAATAAGGTGAAAAATGACAATCAGTTATAAATAATCCTTTGATGATTGACATGGGAAGTTCAGAAAAGGCTAAACACATAATATATCAGATTATGAATCTTTGTTACTATTAGCTTCCAAGTTTGTGGCTTCATTGAGTGATTGCTGGGCATCATTTTCCATCCCAAGAGCAGAGAGGGAAGCTGCTTGAAGGTAAAAAGCAGTAGGCCAATCCGATGTTACCACCAGTGCTTGCATAGCATCTGCTAGAGCTTCATTAGGCATCTCGCTCATCAAATAAGATAAGCAGCGACGAGCATAGACAGTCGGCGATACCATAGTCCCACCATCGATGAACTACACAAAAAACAACAATCGTTAGACCCTTTTCTACAATCACGTAAAAGTTCTTCGAATGAAATGAAGTAGAATTAATCTACTTTGCCAAAGGACTTTTGACATCCTCTTTGACAGGTGAGTAGGTGGATGGAAATGATTATTGAGTTTAAAATAGTCCAATGATAGAATGACACGTGGCATTATGTCAATATATCTGTCAAGAAGGTGGTCAATGTAGCATGATTGAACAAAGTATTGGAACATGACTTTATTATACTATACACTTATCTTTTACCAATCGCGGATTGACTCGAATGGACAGGTAACAGGTTACTAATGGGAAATGTAGATAGAGGACAGACCTGTGTGTAGCGATCAATCGCAGTTATGAAATCCTTGGCTAGAAAAGCAGCATCCCCTTGCTTCTTGTAATTCAAGGTCTCCTGCATCTGATTTGTCCACATTTGAAAAGATAGCTGCAAGAAGATATAATTCAAAAACTTGATTGTTGATGAAACTTTGAGTTTACCACTGAGCAAAGTAGAAGCAGGAACTCGAGAATTATCTCACACTTTTGAGAACTGATACAAATAATATCTGCTCAGAACACACCCTAAATTCTAGCTAAAGGCCAATAAATTTTTAATTCTGTAGGTGGAAATATCTTCCATAAATGGACATCCTCTGAAGCTTCAAAATGATACAGCCCGTCCCCTAGCTCTTGGTCCGCTCTTCTGATCATGGATTTCCTACTCGAGAGGAAAACTTTACTCTCATCTTTTTATGGTTGTCCCGCACAGAGATTCGAACCCCTAATATTAATCATTTATCCTATAGGATAGGCCTACTCCATCTCCACCAGACGTGTTCCAGGAGTAGCCTCAGAAAGGCATGGAAAAATAAGGCCGAAAAATAACTTTGTAAGATCAGAAAAAGGGTTCCTGAGATTGCCATGGATCTAGAAGAGGAAGATGCATACCTCATTTTCAATTCCTTCGTCATCCTTGTACCCAGCATTTTCAAGAAATTCATGTATGGCAGTAAGATCCATTCTCTGGCATGCTTCACCCATGGGCGTCAACAATAATTGTGGCGTCAAGTTGGCATTTCCATGTGAAATGCCCAGTAAAACATGAGATGGAACCTGATCGTCGCATCAATAAGAAAAATACTTATTCTCCGACCCACATTATAAAACCTCATTAGGGAGGATGCTATTCATTAATTTCTCCATAATTTGCAGGCACTAGAGCTTCAAGAGAGTGATGTCCATGATTTATTCATACCTCAGTTTCTTTCTGAATAGACACAAGAGAAGTGACAAGAATCTTAGCATTTGGCCTGTCTCGTGCTTCATATTGCAAACAACGGGTAGCTAATCGCACCAACTCAGTTCCGTCATCATTTGAAAAATGACCCTCCAGACAAGAATCCACGAGCATCGGAAAATTTTTGCCGCGAATAAGATCGAGTGCCTGAAAGAGACCGAGAGGCACAGCTCGAATTTAGATCCTCCCAAAGACTAACAGAACAATTCATTTGTGGAACGAACTAATAAAAATTAAGGTTAACCAAGCAGACTTACAAATTATTAATAAACATAATGTAATGAGAAGAAAACTTTTAATAGTGTCGAGTGGACAGATTGTATCTCTCATCAGCAAAAACCAGAAGATGCAAGATAAATTTTAAGTTGCACAAACCAATTTTTGTCAGTTGAGAACAATAGTATTGTAAGAACAAAAGCAACACCAAGTTCAAATATGATGTAGTTCATCATTGAGTGAACGCAAAAGGCTTAAACTTTAAATATTTTTATCCCAGAAAGAGTTTCAGTGTAAGATTTTAGTTCATTTCTAAGGTTATCATAGCGGGCTGTTAGAGTGATAACAGTTAACGTTTAGTGAATTAACACAAAGAATTGAAAAAGAAGCACATGCTAGCAGCGGGGTAAATTTCAGGGATTCGGTAGTTATTTCTTAAACAAATCAGTCTTTTTAATGAATTGCGAACTTACATGGCTTGGGGGTATATGCTTGCCACTTAGAAGATCTAGCAGCATAGTTCCAAAGCTGTAAACTACACTTTCTGGAGTCACTCTTCCTGCCAAAAATTGGAGACAAATTACCAAAAGTTAAACTTAAATAACTGCATAGATAATATCGTTTCATATTTGTACAAGTAGTTTATTGCATAACTTAATACAGTAGTTCAAGAAGAACACTAATTGGCGAGATAGCACATGTATGCAAATTACATGTGCAATTTTTCAAGCACCTTCTTAACCTCGATATCCAACATCGCGTGTATTGGGAGCTACATATGGCAATATTACGAGATCATAGAGAAAACACAATTATATACCAGTTCTCAAGTACTCTGGAGGAGTGAAAGCTAAGTTTGTACTGTAACTTTTGCCATCTCGACTATTCTTCATCAGGCCAAAGCAAGAGAGCCGAGGATTCCCATCCTGTAGACCAGTAAATGAACATAAGACCACAAAACATTCAGTTTTGGAAGGAAAATGCAAACTTATATAGAGCACATTTCACCTTATCAAACAAGACTCTGTAAGCATTAAGATCATGGTACAATGCCCGTCCTCGGCTACTGCAGTACTCCAGAGCTTGTGCTAAATACAAAGCCACCCTCAACCTCATTGCCCATTTCATGGGCTGCTTCTCCCCTATACCAATACAACCACTAAAATATATTAGAACACTATCCATACAAAATCAATTTGGCCTAGAAAGCACGACAAGTTTTCGTATCTCCAAGAACACATCACAAATGCAAATCAGGTCTCAGAATCAATACATATGTATACAAGATGAAATTTTGCCATTATTTTGTTTTAGGGATTAAGCCTTAATCCCTTTCTAAAGAAAGAATGCAATAAGAAAGTAAACAAAGTAAGCACATGAATTTCCACTAGGACCACTACCTATACAGTATGGTTTATTTGGAAAATATCCATGATCGAGATGCAATGTAAAATGCAGTAAAACGGTAATAGTGATATGTACAAAACTCACAATGAAATAAATGTTTTGCTAGAGTTTCGTTAGGCATAAACTCTGCCACCAGCAATCTCTCCTCTTCCTCATAGCAACATCCTATCAGATTTGCCAGTCGCTCACTTCTCAGGTTACCCACTGCCTTAGCCTCCTCCTATAATAACACACCAAAAAAAGTAACATAAAAACTCAAATTCAAACTAAGAAACTGATGTTGATCTCCTGATTAATAGAAAAGAGTAAATACTAACAAGGAATTGGCGAGAATCAGGCCAAGCGGACTTATTGAAGCGCTTAACAGCAATCAACTGATAATTTTCAAGCAATCCTTTGTAAACTACATTGGGAGCCTTCTCTCCATGCTCTGAAACAATGTTTTCAGAAGAAAAATCATTTGTAGCAGATTTCAGCTCCTCCCAGCTGAACTCTCTGAAGCATGGCAATTCATTTTTCTCCGCATTTTCTGTAACCAATTTACACAAAACCCAATAATTTAAGTTAATGATACAAAAATCTCTCCAAATATAACATGATACTTAAATGTCCCTACCCAGATCAGAGGACTGAAGAGCAGAGGGCTTGAGGTTAGAGTGCCACCAGCAGAATGAAAATTTGGAGCAACTTGCACCCATTTTAATGGCAACACAACACAAAGAAAGTAAAGCAATTAAAGAACACTCTCAACAAAACAAGTGTAGAAATGAAAGTTGATCAAAACT